AGTTCTGCGACATAGCCATTATGCTAACTGCTGGTCCCAAACTATTAGAGCTTTTGAAGTAGAAAATGACATGATATGATTTGCTTTATTTATTTATTTTTTTTAGGTTTTTGTCATAGGCTGTCCACTTACCAGAGAGAGAGAGAGGAATCACCCTAGGGAGGATGGCCACACCGCAGTCCCTTCTCTTCCATTCTCCTATTGGGATTTTAGGCATGCATATACATGTGCCCGATGTGCTTTTCAAGCGGCAGTGTCCGGGACTTGAACCACAGTTGACCATGTGGGAATCCAGCACCTTAAGCATCACCCTTCCTGCTGGCCCCACATCTATTTTTGGGGGGGGCGGGGGAAGGTTTTTGCTATCGGGTGCTTGTGCTCGCCAGGAAGACAGAGAGAGACAGAGAGACAGAAAGCGAGAAATCAGCCCCCAGGGGGGATGGCCACACCACAATCCCTTCTCCACTCTCCTCTTAGGATCTTGGGCACGCATGCACACACACCCGGCATGAGTTTAAGCCACCAGGTCCAGGACTCCCATGGTCAACTACATGGGAGTCCAGTGACATAGCCAATATGCTAACTGCCAATCCCCCCGATTTACATTTTTAAGAGGTCACTTTGACGTTAGGAAGTGGGCAAGAGTAAGGGCAGGGAGGCTGGTGAGGAGGCGCCCAGGCTGGCGATGGGGAGAGATCTGAGCAAAGACAAGCGTGGCAGGCATAGACATGCTGGGTTAGCAGTTGTGATCACTACTGGCTTCACAGTGCACAGACGGATGGAATTACCACTTCTAAGGGGGCTGTGCCGCATAGTGATGTAATGTGTCGTATTAAATAGAGTAGAAACTTGATAATTGCCTAGCATCAGTTCACAGGTACCGTATCTATCGGGTGTGTGTTGTTAACAGGTATTATGCTTGTTTAAGAGGACCCCGTCAATTAGTTCATTGTTTTGATTGGTCTTGGAGAAAGTGCCTTGAATAGGAGTAGACTTTACACAAATCACCTCGTTACTGTCATAGACCTTTCAGAGTGTGAGTGCTCCCCAAGGTGGGTGTGAAGCCCGTTTCTGGGGACAGTCATTCCCCGCCACCCTGGCTTTCACCTAGTCCTTTTGAGAACTAGTTAGAAGGGAGAATGTAAAGTGACTCCTGATGGGGTCCTGTTGAGACTCATCTGCTCGCCACGGTGTCCACCTGAAACCCCTAGGTGAGAAGGCACAGCGTCCAGGTGACCTCAGGTGAGGGTGGTGTAGGGCACCCACGGAGACAGTTTTAGAAGTAGGATGACCGCAGTATAACATGGGGCCCTTTGACGTGCTTGCTTCATGGTGGCAGATCAGTTCCCAGATGGGCTGTCCCCTTTGACACTGTCGTCTGGCTGATGGGACGCCCTTCGCTCAGCACCCAACCCATATCCCGTGGCCTAACACTGTGGGAGGATCTAGGTTTAATAGGCTTCCTTCTTGGGAGACAGTCTGCCAATCCTGGCAGAGGTGGTCTGGGTGCTCTCCAACACCAAGCCACTATATCTAATGGCTCGGGAGGGGGGGGGGGGCCGACGGGGGGACTAGAGGGTGGGGCTCCACCACACACAAGCCACTATATCTAATGGCTCGGAAGGTGGGAGTGGCCAGATGGAGCATTAGAGGCAGGTGAGCCCTCCCCCTAACCCCAGACTGACAGCCTCATAAAGTAGACTGAGAAGGCCCTCCAGCCCCCATGGGAACACTTGCAAGTGTCATTTCTGCCTAGTGCTTTGCAGGTTCCTAAAGCTGCAAAGAGAGTGTTTCTTCATGGGTGTGGAAAGGAGGCAGAGTAGAGCTGGACAGTGGGCACTGCCAGACCCTGCCCTCATCAGGGTGGGGCAGCCAGACCCCTGGTCTCCATCCCCAACCAGCTCTGGGCCCAGCCTTGCATGTATTTCCATATGACCTTGCTGTGCCTCTGTTTCTTCATTGGTAAATGCGACCTGATAATATTTATTTCTAGGGGTGAGGTTTAACTGAAGATTAAGGTTACGGATATCAAATCCGCAAGCAGCACAGGACACGCCAGCCCCGCGCAGGACAAGCAGACCCTCCTCCCAGATCGCGCCCACCAGCCACTCGCAGGACAAGCAGACCCTCCTCCCAGATCGCTTTCCCCAGCAGGGTGTGCACTGAGATGGTTTTCACAGTGCCACCGGGAGGGGCGCTGACGTTCTCCAGAGCTCCGGGGGAAACTGTCCCTCAGCAAGAGTTTCCAAGAGAGCCACCCCGAGGCTCTTCCTTTGTGCTCCAAGCCCCTGGAGCCCACCCAACTCCAAATGTCAGCTCTCCGGAGTCCCCACTGAGTTTGAGACCTTTGCTGATCTGGGTGATCCCTTTCAGCAAGTAGACCCTCATCTTAATATATTCAGCAGACATCGGATCATTGTGATAACCTGATGGGTGGTGAGCAAGGCAAATGAGCTGAAAGATGATTGATTTTTTTTTTATGTGCTATTTTATCTTCAACCTTTCCTAACAAGGCGCTATGCCAGAGCAATCATTTCTTCTCCCAGGTATGTGCCAGTGTCGCGATTGCACATCTATTTACAGTTGCCTGGAAGCCTCCTAATTACAATACAGTCCAAGTGCCCATTTTCTTCCCCTGACTACAAATAGGGATCAATCGAATTCTAAATGACTGCTTCGGGGCTCGCTCCTGATCGTGACCTTTGTAAATGATTAGAGCTCACCACTGTGGCTGCCTGGCCAGAAGAGGCGAGCCGGCACAGCTTTCTAACTGGCATTTCATCTGGACATAGGCCAAAGATATTCCAGGTGAAAACCGACCATGAGTTGCCAGGACAGAAAAGGCTGTGGGCTTTCCGTGTGCCCCACAGCCCCTTCCCCTTTCTCTGATTCTTGGGTTCTCTCTGTTTGTTCCACAGTCCCTGGCCAGAGCTGCCCTTAGTTCTGCTGAGCAGGTGCCCAGAAAGGAAAAGGCTGGATTCTGAATCTCCCAGGAAGTTTTAGACCTGCATGGAAAACTGGCTATTGCCTGAGAAAAAGTTCCTTTCGTTTTTGGTTTTCGTGTTGTTTTGAATCATTTGATTGGATGGCAGACGCTGAGTGATGGATTATGAAGCCTGAAAGCTCTTCAGGGTAAAGAATTCTTACTGAAGAAACTGGGCCTGCGACTTGGCTTAAGCTATTCAACTGCCACATTGTCTTGGGGCTGAGTTTTCTGATTCAGAGAACAGCCAGATGCAGTGTGTGTGAGCCACTTTGAGGTCCCTGGTGCCACTGGAGGACAGCCTGTGAAAGCCCTGACACAGAGCTCCCACAGGACACTGGCCCCGTATTTCTGGGGTCAGGCTATGGCCCACCAGCCCCTTTCAGAATCACACACACCTGCTCCATAGCAGTGAAGGATCGTGTGGCGAGGAAGGGCTATCGTGAGTGAGAGCACCCTGTGTTTTGACGCTAACCCCACCTCAGTTTCTCCAACTGCCACTCTGAGAATAAGTTACTGGCTTCATCTGTGAAGCCAGGTCAGGGTGCTGATGGTGCCAGGTAAATACTCTCGTGCCAGCCTTGCCTCTCCAGAGCCTTATCCTATGCAATAGCAAAGTGCTTCCTTCTGGTGGTCTTTGGACTGCCTGCTCCCAGTAGCCTCAGGTTTCTTTGAGAATCGTAGGTCGAGCCTCGTTCCTCACTGTTTCTCCATCCTCTGCTCTCCAGCCAGGCCCGTCTCACTAGGACCAACCCTCCTTGGCATCAGTGAATAAGCTGCTACCGGTGCAATGCCCCAGAACACCCCAATATCACCTCTACACCTCCCCTTGTCCACCTCCATCCAGTTCCTCCTCTGTGCTGGCTTCAGTCGCCATGACACCCGCTCAGGGGCCAGATGGCACTAACATTGTCCCTGCCCTAGACCCCCTGTACATGTATCATGCCTCCTCATGGTACTCCCCAGGGAAATCTTCTTTCTCCTACCAATTTTTAAGAGTTCTCTGTGGCTCCTGGACACTTGGAGGAAACCTAGAGAGGGATAAATTGACTTGTGCTGCTAAACCGAGCTTCATCCCACCGTTGGGCCACTAGCATCTCTCTGTAGTGCCACCACTTAGAGAATCCTTAGAAAAGCATCAGTGTTGCCCAGAAATGAAAGCCACTGTCAAGAGTGTAAGATCTCAAATCACATGCAAAGTCTCAAGCAAACCGCTGTTTTGGCGTGCAGCTGGAGGTCTCTGGAAGGTGTATGCTGAGGTGTATGTTCTCCCCGTGGGTTGTGAGCACATGCCAGTGGATAGTCCTAAAGTAACGTGGAAAGAGAATTTGGAGAACAACTCTCTCTCTCTCTCTCTCTCTCTCTCTCTCTCTCTCTCTCTCTCTCTTTGCCACAGATGTGGAAACAAGAGTTAGCTCAGATGAGGCAAAAGAAAAGAACCAACCACATGCCCTTGAAAAGCCTCAAGCTAAACTCCTGAGTTCTCCAGGTGGGGAGGTAAGCGCCTGCCTGGCTATACAATACCTTCTACATCCTGAGCCTGAATGTTTCCTCCTGTTTGACCTTAGAAATGTAGCACCTTGAAAAACCACAAGCTAAACTCCTCTGAGTTCTCCAGGTGGGGAGGTAAGCGCCTGCCTGGCTATACAATACCTTCTACATCCTGAGCCTGAATGTTTCCTCCTGTTTGACCTTAGAAATGTAGCAAAACCCCCGAGCCATGTGTTTTCTTTGTCCTTCCCCTGTATTTCCAGAGCAAGAGATTGTACGTTGCACGGGTTGGGGCAAAAGCAGATGGGCCTTCCAAGTGATCCTAACTGTTGTTGTTGTTGTTTTACAGGTTTATTCTATTTTATTTATCATTATTATTAATTTTTAATTTGCTACAGGGTATGTATACTCACTAGAGAGAGAGAGAGGGAGAGAGTGAGAGAAAGTAAGAAAACAAGCTGCCAGGTCTGGCATTGAACTGTGGTCGGCCTTGTGGGAGTCCAGCACCTTAACCACGATGCCACCTGCTGGCTCCCATAATTGAGCTTTGTTTTGTATTTTTTTAATGGATATTTATTTTATTTTTTTAGAGATTTTTGCTATGGGGCATGAGTGCTTGCCAGAGAAAGAGAAAGTGAGAAATCACTCCCTGGGGTGGGGCGGGGGTGGGGTGGGCCATGCCGCAGTCCCTTCTCCTTCATTTTCCTTTCAGGATTCTGGGCATGTACACACACACGCCCAGTGTAATTTTCATGCCACCAGGTCTAGGACTTGAACTGGGGTCAGCTGTGTGAAAGCCCAGTGTCTTAACCACTGCACCACCTGCTGGCCCCCATAATTGAGTTTTAATATATTAATTCTTATTTATTTATTTATTTATTTATTTATTGGGAGAGGTTTTTGCTATAGGGTGCGTGCGCTCACCAGACAGACAGACAGAGACAGAGAGACAGAAAGCGAGAAATCACCCCCCGGGGGGATGGCCATGCCGCAATCCCTTCTCCTCCATTCTCCTCTCGGGATCTTGGGCACACATGCACATGTGCCCGGAGATAGTTTAAGCCTCCGAGTCCGGGACATGAACCTCGGTTGACTACATGGAAATCCAGCGACATAGCCATTACGTTAACTGCTGGTCCTAAGTTTTAATATATTAATTCTAACATATTCCAGTAATCCAAACACAGCATATCTCAAGACATTTCAGTTATGGTACCTCCAAGGATTATAGGAGGAAGCCATTGATTTAATTCTCAAATACCGTGTCAATCTGGAAGCACGAGATGCATTTTGTATGATGTCCTGATGGGCTCTAACATGTGTCCCTGGGCCCAGCAACAGAACTGAGCCTGGAGCTAGCGTCTGTGAAGCTGCCATCATGGAGCCTGTGACATCATTTGACATTAGTCCTGGGCACAGTGTGGAACGGTAAACCATCCTGACTGTTGACGCTGCTGCCTCTTTGTTTGCAGAGTTACCTTTTGTTCATTCCCTGAAGAGCAGCGACTTTGCTGATTTCAGTTTAGTTTCTTTTCCCACCATTGACATGTGTACATGTAAGTGTTTTCTAAGATGCTTACATTTGTGTCATGTTTTGCAGATGATGTATAACAGTAGGACTTAGGTGAGAAGCTTTAGTGCAAAATCTATTGCTCTTGGTGATGAAGGAAGCACTCTGCAGTGTAGTGAGGTATGATAATTGATCCCACCACAGGCAAATCATCTCTCTTGAACTCTCAGCACATATCGAATTAGTAATTATTCTGATTAGAATAATGGCCTGTATTTTTAAAGTATGGAATTTGCACTTGAAGTCACCATTGAACCGCCATAGTGATGTCACTTTTGCAGAATTCACCTGATCCAGAAAACAAAACCAAGGGAAGAGACGGGGGTTGCTCATAGGTAGAGTGTTGTCCCCACTTCTGACATCATCCTCCAGAACATTCCATCAGGAAGCTGGCTCTGTCAATGAATATTTTCTTAGCGAGTTGGTTAGTTTTCTAAATTCTTTACTGAGTCCATATGTTAAGAAAGAAATAGGCATTGCCTAAAGCGTCCCAACATTCTAAAATAATTGACTTCTTTAATCAAGTAAACATAGTATAGAAGCTCATGCCCAGACCAACTGGTCTGGACAAAACCAGCAAAGATGGCTCATGAATAAAAATTAGGCTGAAGTGGGGAGAGAAAGCATCCGTACTTCCAAAAATGTGTTCCATGGAACACCCATGGTGTAAAAACAGCTGAAAGGGAGCTATAGGGTAAAAGGCTTTGTCTTAGTCTATAACAGAATACCACAGACTGGATAATTTATAAGGAAAAGAAACTTATTTCATACTGTTCTGGAAGCTGGAAAGTCCAAAGTCAAGGGACTTGCATCTGGCAAGAGCCTTCTGGCTGTATCATCCCATGGCAGAAGATGGAAGGGCAAGGAAGAATAAGTGAGGGAGAGTGATGGGAAGGAGGTTGAACTCATCTTTTTATCAGGAAGCCACTCCTATGATTGGGTAATGGCACTGAACTGCAGAGCCCTCATGACTGAATCACCTCTTAAAGGTCCCACCTCTTAACATTGCTGCACTGGGATTAAGTTTCCAGTACGTGAACTTTGGGGAATACATTAAAAGCATAGTGGGGTTCTACTGTCAAGTAATTTGGGGAAGTAGTCCAAAACAGGGGTATAAGCTCTCTTTGCCATCTAGCTTGGGCCTCCATTCCCTCTCCGTTGGACAGATGTGACAGTGTTCTCCCTGGTACTCTGTACCTGGTCCTCTGTCATTCTCTGGTCCTCTAGAACCCATTCTTCACACACAGCCAGAGGGGACTTCTTTGTTTGTTTGTTTGTTTGTTTGTTTGTTTTTTTCCTGAGAGTTTTTACCTTAAGGTGCACACTCTCACCAAAGAGAGAGAGAGAGAGAGAGAGAGAAAGAGACAGTGAGAGGAAAAGTGAGAAATCACCCCCTGGGGAATGGTCATGCTGCAATCCCTTCTCCATTCTTTTCTCAGGATCTTAGATATGCACACACATGGGTCTGGTGTGAGTTTCAAGCCACTTGTCCAAGACTTGAACCTCAGTTGGCCATGTGGGAGTTCAGTGACATAATCATTATGCCACCTGTTGGCCCCTAGAGAGGACTTCTTTTTTTAAATTTATTTTTGAATTATTTTATTTTATTTATTTATTTTAATTTGACCAGAGAGGGGCAGAGTGAGAAAACAAGCTACCAGGTCTGGGACTCAAACCACAGTAGGTCATGCAGGAGTCCACTGCCCTTAACCATCACGCCACCTGCTAGCGTCCAAAGGGACTTCTTAAAAAATGATTTGGATCATGTAATTCCCAGTTTAAAACTGTGTAATGATGTCCTCTTGTACTCAGACTCTAGCTGAGATCGTGTCCTGCGGCTGGGCTACCCTTGCCCCCGCTCCACGTTTGTGCCTTTCCAGCTCCAGCTTTCTCCTTCCCAAAGGCTTCAGCCACCCTAGTCGCTGCACTCCTTGGAACTCTTCAAGCCCTTTTCTTGCCTCAGGACCTTTGTACTGGCTGCTTCACTGTCTGGGAACTTCTTCCCTTTGATTTCTATCGTTCTGCTTCTCCTTGTCATTTAGATCACAGCTTGAAACCACCTTGTTAAAAGGCACTTTTTCTGTTCTAACTCTGTCCTGCCCCCCTACCCCAGTGTCACTTTGTATTCCACTAATATTTATTATTTAGTTGGTTAGTTTTCTAAATTCTTTACTGAGTCCATATGTTAAGAAAGAAATAGGCATTGCCTAAAGCGTCCCAACATTCTAAAATAATTGACTTCTTTAATCAAGTAAACATAGTATAGAAGCTCATGCCCAGACCAACTGGTCTGGACAAAACCAGCAAAGATGGCTCATGAATAAAAATTAGGCTGAAGTGGGGAGAGAAAGCATCCGTACTTCCAAAAATGTGTTCCATGGAACACCCATGGTGTAAAAACAGCTGAAAGGGAGCTATAGGGTAAAAGGCTTTGTCTTAGTCTATAACAGAATACCACAGACTGGATAATTTATAAGGAAAAGAAACTTATTTCATACTGTTCTGGAAGCTGGAAAGTCCAAAGTCAAGGGACTTGCATCTGGCAAGAGCCTTCTGGCTGTATCATCCCATGGCAGAAGATGGAAGGGCAAGGAAGAATAAGTGAGGGAGAGTGATGGGAAGGAGGTTGAACTCATCTTTTTATCAGGAAGCCACTCCTATGATTGGGTAATGGCACTGAACTGCAGAGCCCTCATGACTGAATCACCTCTTAAAGGTCCCACCTCTTAACATTGCTGCACTGGGATTAAGTTTCCAGTACGTGAACTTTGGGGAATACATTAAAAGCATAGTGGGGTTCTACTGTCAAGTAATTTGGGGAAGTAGTCCAAAACAGGGGTATAAGCTCTCTTTGCCATCTAGCTTGGGCCTCCATTCCCTCTCCGTTGGACAGATGTGACAGTGTTCTCCCTGGTACTCTGTACCTGGTCCTCTGTCATTCTCTGGTCCTCTAGAACCCATTCTTCACACACAGCCAGAGGGGACTTCTTTGTTTGTTTGTTTGTTTGTTTGTTTGTTTTTTTCCTGAGAGTTTTTACCCTAAGGTGCACACTCTCACCAAAGAGAGAGAGAGAGAGAGAGAGAGAAAGAGACAGTGAGAGGAAAAGTGAGAAATCACCCCCTGGGGAATGGTCATGCTGCAATCCCTTCTCCATTCTTTTCTCAGGATCTTAGATATGCACACACATGGGTCTGGTGTGAGTTTCAAGCCACTTGTCCAAGACTTGAACCTCAGTTGGCCATGTGGGAGTTCAGTGACATAATCATTATGCCACCTGTTGGCCCCTAGAGAGGACTTCTTTTTTTAAATTTATTTTTGAATTATTTTATTTTATTTATTTATTTTAATTTGACCAGAGAGGGGCAGAGTGAGAAAACAAGCTACCAGGTCTGGGACTCAAACCACAGTAGGTCATGCAGGAGTCCACTGCCCTTAACCATCACGCCACCTGCTAGCGTCCAAAGGGACTTCTTAAAAAATGATTTGGATCATGTAATTCCCAGTTTAAAACTGTGTAATGATGTCCTCTTGTACTCAGACTCTAGCTGAGATCGTGTCCTGCGG